AACTAGGACTAGTAGAGTAGTTTAAGAGCTCTCTATTTCGTTTTCTTGAAACTCAAAAACACACAAACATATTTGCTTCAAGACAAAATCGAACCACTTCTTCAAGTTTTCATTTTTGTTCTTCCACGTATCGGCCACTGACCTATGTAACATTTCTTTCTTTTTGTGATTACTCTTGATTTCTTTTTGCATCAGTTCGGATGTGTACAAAAAATGATTCCTTGTTTTAGCAATGTGAGTAAAATTGTTTTTCCTTTTCTTTTGGGAATTCAAGCTTGATTGTGTAACCAGAGCTGATCGAGACTTTTGTCTGTTTGAGAGCTTTAAGAGTTATGTTTAAATTCAAGATTGCGTAGGATTTGATGAAGAAGTGAAAACTTTGAAGTTTGATACACATGGTGGATCATTGGAGCATAAATAAACCAGAGAACATTTGTTTTGTCTGTTTTACATCTTCTTATGATTAGCATGAGTTTATTTGATTTATGTTAACTAATGAAGCCCAATAATGACTTTTTTTTTATTCCAGACTATAAATGTCTAGCTTGGGCAAGATTAAGAAAGAAGCTTGTGTTCATGGTTATGAGTCTGTCTGGTTGAATCGTTGGACCAGGAGAGGCCGTGGATTCGAGTTACAGGCTCGTAGTAACCGAGATGCTGAGTGCTCGACGAAGATTAATGGTCAACTATGGAAGGAATCAACAGGTTCCATGAAACTAGAAGGAAAAATGTTGAGTGGGTTTCTTGATCTGTTTCCTAATCCTGATTCAGCTGTTCAAAGGGTCGAAATGATACCTGACATGAACAAAGAGCCGCCACTTGTTGCGGAGAGAGAAAACTCGAAAGATGGGGAAGAAGGAGAATCAAGCAGCTCAGCTACTCAAAGTAGGAATGTAGAACACTTTCTCAACAACAACAACAATAAGTCGTTCAAAGAGTCTAAGGGTATACTGTTGGACCATGAAACCAACAGTAGATCACAGGTCAAACGTCTCAAGACAAACACCTCGGACTACTGCGGAAATGAAACCAAAGGCATGAAGGTTGTTGAAGGACCATCACAAGAGAAAGTGAACTACTTCTTCCACAGAATCTTAAGTTGTGGAATCAACAAATCTGGATCCACAAGAAATCAAGAACGCTTCCAGTCACGGATCAAGAACATTAAAAGGGTAGGCAGAGGAGGAGAAGACGAAGACTTTACGCTTCTGCACCCATGGATTCAGAGATGGTGTAAGAAAAAAGCTAAGGAAACTCATGAGCAAGAAGTTAACCCAAAGGGCACTGCGTTGGAGAAGCAGTTTCCAAGTATTGCAGCAATGGCATTGATGGGGAAAGCTCTGAGTTTAACCCCGACTGGTACGAAAAAGACCAACTCCCTCTTCGTTTGGAATGCGCAAGAGCTAAGGTGAATCTTACTGATGTCAGAAACACAAAACAAAACTAGAATCTACTTCAAACAAACTTGGAAGTGTGTCTGCAAGAACAATAGCTATCAACCCTCATGGTTATCATTTTTACTATAAAGCGCAAAAGTAAACTTCTAGAATCTTGCTTTGAATGCCCAACAAAATTATTCTCATCTCTATATTCTCACAAGATTAAACAGAGATAGTCCAAGCAAACGCAAGTAAAGGAGCATTCTAGAAAGATGATATGTCATAAAGATAAAATAAACAACAGAACACGATCGAAAGAAACTAGCTGTGGGTTGCCCTAGTGTAAATCTGCTGGCTTGAGTGAGCAGAGACCATCCTTATCGTTCCCTTAGCCATCAATTCTCTGATCGCCCTCCGAGCAAGTGATCCATTGATCTGTACCAACACACGAGCACATGTCACAACCAGTAGAAATAATCTAGAAGCCATATGTGTTTTGTGCACCAAATACTAAAGAGATGTTTCCAACACTATCCGATAATTCATCTACACTACCCAAGCATCATTCATATCACCTCGACACTCGTCATACAATCACTACTATATAACTGTTAAGAATCATTTTATAAGTATCAACAAGTATCAAGATCTTAATCAAAAAATTATCAACTAGACCTTTCTTCAATGTTATCAAGTACTAACACACAATGTGTCACCAATGCATTCTTTTAAGAGAAAAAGTTTCCAACTTTCACAAATCAGAGAAGAAAGTTTTACCCTCAAACGGTCGGAGACAATAGAAGGAGTGATTAGTTTGAACTTAGGAGCCTCAGAGAGAAGTTTGTCGTAAGTTGCTTGGTCGAACAAAACCATGTTATTCACTTTCTCCTTTTGCTTTCCTTTGCTCCACTTCTGATAATTCCAAAAACAGAACAAAAAGAACACAACTTTGATGTTAGAAAACAGAGGAAACCGGATCAAACTATCAATGATTTTGATTCAAAATAGGTGATTTGAGAGATGAAAGATTGGATTTTTAGGAAATGACCTTCTTTTTCTGTTTGCCACCACCGGATTTGGCGGGTTTAGAGGACGGAGGAGGGACTTTGTCCTTCTTGGGTGCCTAGAATCAGACAGAGAAGCCACTGCTAATCAGACAACAACAACACAGAGAGATATAGAAGAATTGGGCAGTGAGGAGATTGAGAGAGCACACACCATTGGATCCGTCTGGAGAAGAGAAGAGCGGCGCTACAATGAAGAACTGAACACAAGGAATTGAAGCCCTAGAAGAATGATGAGTCTTGTTCTCTGACGAGGAAATACTTTTTATTTTATTTAATCTAATTAATAAACCCAAAATACCGTCTCAAATTATAATATTTTTTGTTTTGTCAACAAATGTTTCGGGGGACTAGGTTTATTTCACGATCATGATCATGAATCAAGCAAGAGATTATTACCTATCCAGTATTCACACAATGCAATGCAAATATTAAATTTGCTCAATTTCTCGATTCGGTATGTTTGGACGCCTACAATTCACATATATTACTAGATTTAAATTGGGTTATAGCTCGACGGTGACAGTAATACAAACCACTAGATATATACACATGGT